GTCCTCGGGTGAGGATAAAAAAAAAAAAAAATTTAGAAAGAGAACAAAAAGAAAAACCCTGACTTAGTAGAAGGAAGGAAATAATAAATAGCAGAGTGGAAATAAATGACACAGAAACTAAAAAAAAAATAATATAAAAGACCAATGAAACCAAGAGCTGGTTCTTTGAAAGATAAACAAGATTGATCAACCTTTAACCAGACTCACCAAGAAACAAAGACAGGACTCAAATGAATAAAATCAGAAACAAAAAGAGGTAAAATAACAAATAGCACATAGAAATACAAAGGATTGTAAGAAAATACTATGAATAACTACATGCCAACAAATTCAACAATCCAGGTGAAATAGACATATTCCTAGAATCATACAGTCTTCCAAAACTCAGGAAGAGTCAGAAAACTTGTAACAGGTCAATAACAACTAAGGAAATAGAGGCAGTAATCAATAAACTCCCAGGAAACAAAAGTTCTGGTCTGAATGGATTCACAGGGGAGTTTTATCAAACATTCAAAGAAGAACTAAGACCTAGGCTCCTCAGATTATTCCAAAAATATTCAAGAGGAAGGAAGACTTCCAAGCTGTTTTTATGAGTCCAGCATAATCCTAATGCCAAAGCCAGAGAAATACAATTAAAAAAAAAAAAATTACAGGCCCATATATCTCTGATGAACATAGATGACGAAGTCTTCAACAAAATTTCAGCAAATTAGATCCAGCAATATATTTAAAAAGTTATACACCACAACCAAGTGGGATTTATTTGAGGGATGCAAGGTCAGTACAATATTCACTAATCAATAAATGTGATACACCATATAAACAAAATGAAAGATAAAAATCATATGATTGCCTGGCTGGTATGACTCAGTGATTGAGCACTGATCCATGCACCAAGAGGTCACTGGTTCGATTCCCCATCAGGGCACATGCCTGGGTTGCAGGCTCAGTCCCCAGTAGGGAGCATGCAGGAGGCAGCTGATAGACGGTTCTCTCTCACATTGATGTTTCTCTTTCTCCAAAAATCAATAAAAATAATTTTTAAAAAATCACATGATCATATCAATAGATGCCAAAAAAGCATTTGACAAAATCCAGCATCCATTTTTTAAATTAATTTTTGAGAGAGAGAAGGGAGAGAGATAGAAACATCAATCAGCTGCCTCCTACACGCCCACTAATGGGGATTGAGCCTGCAACCCAGGCATTTGCCCTGACTAGGAATCAAATGCATGGGACAATGCTCAATCCACTGAGCCAGCATGCGTTTTTTATAAACACTCTCAGAAAAGTGGGACTAGAGGGATCATACCTCAACATAATAGAGCCATATACGATAAACCTACAGCCAACATCAGACTGAATGGGCCAAACTAAAAGCATTTCCATTAAGAACAGGAATAAGACAGGGACATCCACTTTTGCCACTCTTATTCAACATAGTACTTGAAGTCTTAACCACAGAAATCAAACAAGAAAAAAATAAATAAAAGGCATCCAAATTGGAAAGGAGGAAGTGTAACTGTCATTATTCATAGATGACATGGTTTAATAAATTTGGCAAAGCAGCAAGATACAAAATCAACATTCAGAAATCGTTGGCATTTTTATACACCAATAGTGAACACAAAAAGAGAAAACAAAAAAATCCCATCTAGCATAGCAACAAAAAAATTAAGATACCTAGAAATAAACTTAACCAAAGAAGTAAAGGACCTATTTGCAGAAAACTACAAGACATTGAAAAAAGAGATAGAAGAAGATATAAAAAAGTGGAAGCACATACCTTGTTCATGGATTGGAAGAATTAAGATAATTAAAATGTCCATACTACCCAGAGCAATCTATAGATTCAATCCCCATCAAAATACCAACGGCATACTTCACAGAACTAGAACAAATACTTCAAAAGTTCATATGGAACCAAAAAAGACCCCAAATAGCCACAGCAATCATGAAAAAGAATGACAAAGTAGGTGGGATCACAATACCAGATACCAGGTTATACTACAAAACTACTGTAATCAAAACAGCCTGGTTCTGACACAAGAATAGGCATATAGATCAATGTAACAGAATAGAGAACCCAGAAATCGACCAAAGGCATTATGCTCAACTAATATTTGACAAAGGCAGCAAGAGCATACAATGGAGTAAAGACAGTCTCTTCAATATGGTGTTGGGAAAATTGGACAGCTACATGCAAAATAATAAAACTGGACCATCAACTTACACCATGCACAAGAATAAACACAAAATGGATGAAAGACTTAAATGTAATTCATGAAAACATAAAAATCCCAGAAGAAAATATAGGCAACAAAATCTCAGACATCACACATAGCAGACTTTTCACTGATACATCACCTAGGGCAAGAGACACAAAGGGAAAAATTGAATGGGATCATATCAAACTAAAAAGCTTCTGCACAGCAAAAGAAACACGCATCAAAATGAAAAGTGAACCCACTTTTGGGAGAACATAACTGCCAATGATACATCAGATAAAAGGTTAATTTCCAAAATGTATAGAGTACTCAACAAAAGGAAGACAAAGAATCCAGTTAAAAAATGGGCAGAAGCCCTGGCTGGTTTGGCTCAGCAGTTAGAGCGGCAGTGCGCGGACCACACAGTCATGGGTTTGATTCTGTTCAAGGGCACACACCTTGGTTGTGGTTTGTCCCTGGCTCTGGTCAGTGTTGTGCGAGAAGCAACCAGTCGAAGTGTCTTTCTCACCTCAATGTTTCTTTCTCTCTTTCTCCACCTCCCTCGCACTCTACCTGAAGATAAGTGGAAAAATATCCTCGCGTGATGATTTTTTTTAAAAAAGGACAGAGGACCTGAATAGACACTTCTCCACAAAGACATACAAATAGCCAAGAGATATATGAAAAAATGCTCAACATCACTAATCATCAGAGAGATGCAAATTAAAATGACTATGAGGTATCACCTCACCCCTGTCAGAATGGCCGCCATCAACAAATCATCAAACAAGTGCTGGCGAGGGTGTGGAGAAAAGGGGACTCTAGTGCACTGCTGGTGGGAATGCAGACTGGTGCAGCCACTATGGAAAATAATATGGAGTTTCCTCAAATAATTAAGAATTGAACTGCCATTTGACCCAGTGATCCCGCTTCTAGAAATATATCCTAAGAGTCCTGAAACACCAATCAGAAAGAATATATGCACCCCTATGTTCATAGCAGTGCTATTTACAATAGCGAAGATCTGGAAACAGCCCAAGTGTCCATCAATAGGCGAGTGGATAAAAAAGCTGCGGTACATATACACAATGGAATACTATGCAGCTGTAAGAAAGAAAGATCTCTTATCCTTTGAGAAAACATGGAGGGATCTGGAGAGTATTATACTAAGTGAAATGAGCCAGTCAGAGAAAGACAAATATCACATGATTTCACTTATTTGTGGAATATAATGAACAAAATAAGCTGATGAACAAAACAGATCCAAAGACAGGAAAGTAGGGTAGAGACTAACAAACCTCAAGGAGGGTGGGAAGAGATAAACCAAAGAACTTATATGCATATACACATAACCAATGGACACAGACAACAATACTGTTAAGGTGGGTGGGGCGGTGGGAGAAAGGAGGAGGGTGCCAGGGCAGGTAGGGGGAAAGAACATCATTAACAAAAATAAATTTAAAAAATAATAATAATATTGTCCTGCTCAGAGTTAACAGAGTGAGAATGAGAGGGACTGTTCCATGTGCATGAGTGCATGTCATTAAAAATTGTTTTATAGCTAAAAGATATCTTAAAATCCCATTAGAATTTGTAGAATATTCATATTTTTAAAAGCTTACCTCAATTTTCATTTTTAACTATCTGTTTAATATTTGTCTTAGGGGATGGAGTGAAATATTTTAAACTAATATTTTAATACCTTGCTATTCATAATATGCACTGACGATGAGCACCATAGGAATCCCCAAGGAACTTGTTAGAAATGCATCAAAACCTACATTTTAACCAGGTCCCCAGCTGATCTGTACAAATACTGAAGTTTGAGAATAACCAGGTTAACAGAGCACATCCTCTCTGAAGTTACCTTTTGTGTGTTTTGTTCTTCTATATAATCCTTGGAATGGTATTTATGAACTAGGCTTTAAATTAACAATATACTTTTTCTTCACATCTTGTCTGTTTCATTTCTAAATCTAGAATCAGGAGTATAAAAAGGAGAAAAACAAAACTCCTCATCCTTCCATGAAGTTGACATCATCCATAAAATATTTAATTACTGAGGGGAGGGACAAAAAACAAGATGTAGCTTTACTTCCTGGAACAAGACAACAAAACACCTTGCAAGTACTGAAATGTTAGAGTGACAAGAAGTGTGCAGTGTAAATGCCTGTTAATTTTCCAAGGAACTAGGTCTAAATCCACCTTACTAAGAACATTCTCTAGTGGAATACGTAATGGTAATTTATAACTAATTTCTACAGTATCCAAGATAGATTGAAATTGTTTTTTGTTTTTTTTCAGAGAGTTATTCACAACTTTACAGAAATTTCAGTCTCCTTCAACTATGTATTACATCTTTAAAAAGGAAGAAGAAAAAGACACAATTGACAAAACAACCAAGAACTACTGCCATGGCTGATGCTTGGGTATGGGGCATTACAAATAAATAGAAAATTATAGGTTAGAATCAGTCCACATGTTTTATTTAACACACTTTTGATAAGTAGTAGCTGTTCTTTTAATTAAACAACTTATTTTCCCATAATATAATTCTAGTTGACAGCTAACAAATTTAGTTCACTTAAAAAATGGAATACTATCACTTCTTGGCATTTTGGCTAAGATCAAGTGTAGTATCTGTTCTTATCAGAAAATGGAATATGAATACTGGACAAGATTTCTCCTTACTCTGTTTATAGGTAAGAAAACAGAGATGTGTCACCATGCACTTGAGTGCCTTCCAATAGAATCAGTTTGAAATGTGTCCTAGAGTTAGATAACGGGTCTTACCTGCTGGATCCCTCACGGGTTCCCAGTGCAAGTCACTGTCTTTTTCCCTGATCCATCCACAAAGCCCATGGTCAAAATTGCAACTGTGTATCAGGACACCTGCAAGAAAACCACCAGAAAGCGGGGTAAGCCACAAACTAACAACAGAACTGCATTGTTAACAAGGTTTTTTGTACAAGCTTCTGTCCTATCCACGCTTCACCAGCCCACAAGAACTTCTAAGAGCTCAAAAGGAAATCACGAGAATCCTTTCTCAGCACAACTGTGCATGTGTGCTCAGCTGTAAAAAATACAGCACACAAATGTTGCCAAATTATAACCTTGTTGCATTGTCACTTATAAAATATGATTTCTTCTCCAGAGTTTACATTAAATGCTGCTTTAATATATATGTTTTTAAAAGATAATGATAACTCAATTATCATTATCATTACCCAACTGATTTAACTGCAGAGGAAACCAAGTTGTGAAAAAAAAGAAAAAGTATCTATAATTTCCCAGGTGTAACCTAACAATCTACAGTCTGAAAGTTATTTTCATGAAATGGAGGGAAACAATAAAATGTCATTATAACAGTACTAAAAATATCAGTAGCTTGGAGTGGTAAACACACAATGTGATATACAGGTGATGTACTGTAGAACTGTATACCTGAAACCTGTATAGTTTTATTTACCAATGTCACCCCAATACATTCAATTTAAAATAAAATAAGTACCTACCTGGATCATCCTTTGCTTCATCATCTGCACTGACTCCTCTTTCAATTTCAAATATTTCAAACAAATCATTTGAAGGCTGCCGTGGAACTGCAAGAGAGAGAGATGTTCCGTTTTGCTTTGATGAGGTTTTGACAAAGAGGCATTACCTTTAACAAGGGGCAGGGGAGAAAGACGTGGGCATTCACTCATCGGGAAGAATCCAAAACATGTAATTACACTTCACATGAAGATTCATGAAGTCTTCTGTGCAGTGATGGGATACTGTAACCTTTATCTGGGTACAAATAAAAATTGGTTTTCAAAAGTTTCTAAAGTTCAACACAAAAACACATTAAAAGGTTTTCATCTGGAAAATGCATTTTATTTTATTTGTTTATTTATTTATTTTTATCCTTCTCACTCGAAGACATTTTTCCATCTTTTGTTCAGGTAGAATGGGAGGGAGAGAGAGGAACAGAGAGAGAGAGAGAGAGAGAGAAACATCGATGTGAAAGGGACACATCGAGTGGTTGCCACCTGCACAACCAACCAGGGCCGGGGACAAACTGCAACCGAGGTACATGCCCTTAGCGGGAACTGAACCTGGGTCTCTATGGACCACAGGCTGATGCTCTAACGGATGAGCCAAACCGGCCAGGGCTGGAAAATGCATTTTAAAAGAGCTACCAATTTCTAGTAAAATATTCATATTCATCTCTATGAAATTCAAATGTTCATCTCTATGAAGGATACACTGTGAACTCTGGATTAAGGATATTTTAACTGAAACACCGGCCACTGTGGTGAGTGGTTTGGTTTTCCAACCAGAGCACAGTCTCCCCTCCAGTGGGCTCTGCACACTGGTGCTCGCTCGTCTGGATTTCTTACCAGTGCCAGCCTTGCTTAAGCAGGGCCCCTGGCTCCTGTAAGATCAAATCCAAAGGACCTGGTGCAGCATTATAACCCCCCGCCCCCATGCCCCAAAGTGCCCAAGACATACCGTTCATTTTCCATCTCTGACTCTGTCCCCAGCTTAGGAGGCTCTTCCTGGAATTAACCCCACAAACTGCCCCTCTTCATTCACTGCCCAGTTAAACATCAGTGCCGGGGTGCAAACGTTCATGCTCCAGTGAACTAAAGTCTTCCCTCCTGTAGTTTATAGACTCCTGTTCCCCCACCTCTAGCCCACTTTTTTTTATAGATGTACTATTATTTACACACATGTGTGTTTGTCCCTCTGCTAGTCTCTGAGGTCCTGGAGGGCATCAATCACGTCTTATTCATGTGGCATTTCCAGGGCATGACCTGGTGACAGGCACTCAGTAAGTGTGTGCTGAACAAATGTGAAGCTCTTGTCGAGAAAGCCATGCACTCTGGCAACCCTTTTCCTCGCTGAAACAAGTGGACAGAGCTTAAATATATACTTCTTTGAAAAATGGATTCACTTAAATCATTAGTTTTTTATTCTTCTGATGTGTATGTGATTACCACCCATACGCCAAGCACTGTGGAAGGTCAAGGAGCCAGGAGAAGGGGAGAACAGGTCCAACAAGGACCCGGGCCTCAAGGAGCCTGCAGTCGAATGGAGAGCCGACATAAACTCAGAGATCGATGAACACAATGCCTCTGGATGCTGACAAAGGCCGGGAAGGAAAACACCAGATGATGTCATGAAGAGTGACGGGGTGGGAATGGGAAGGGTGTGGAGGGGAATTCTTGGCCAAAGACCAGGGAATACTCCCTTCTCCCTGACAGAACTTAAATTAATTAGCTCTATTTTTATAAGGCAGGGAGTGAAAGATGAACACCAAGGAACAGACAGACAGTAGTCAAACGGGTTCTTTTTCAACAATGTTCTTATTTTTTTTTTTTTTTTTTTATCCTCACCTGAGGATATTTTTCCATTCTTTGTACAGATAGAGTGGGAGGGAGAGAAAGGGGGAGAGAGAGAAACATCGACGTGAAAGGGACACATCGAGTGGCTGCCACCCGCACGACCCAACCAGAGCCGGGGACAAACTGCAACCGAAGTACGTGCCCTTAGCGGAACCGAACCCGGGTCTCTCCGGACCGCAGGCCGACGCTCTAACCGCTGGGCCAAACCGGCCAGGGCAACAATGTTCTTATTTTTAGAAAGAATTTTTTAAAAATTAATAACCTCATGATATTTACACTGATATTTTTAAGCTTACTGCTTTGAAGTTTTTTCCAGTTTGTTTCAAAAGTCTAGATAGTAAAGTCGTCCCCCCCACACACATACCCCCCCCCATACACACACTCACATATACGCAGCCTGGGAGGAATAAAGAGAAGCTAGTTCATGGACAGCTCTAGGGGCACACCCTAATCACAGGTGTACTGGGGTGAGGCAAATGCCCGCCCTCTTCTATACTCAGATGACCGACAGAGTGACATCCAATTACAGCTTTCATTGTTTGAGATTCTGAGAGGGAGACAGCCTTGTATCTGCTAGAAATACTACCAAGTTGTAGGCAAGCATGCTTCATTTCTCCTAACAGAGGAAGTTAGAAAAATTCTATAGAACCATCCTTTTTTGTTCTCTTAATCTTGTTGTGACTTATACTAATTATCTCTGGATCAGAAAAGCTCAAACCTTAAGGTACCATATCTAAGGGGCATTATGCGTTTGTCAGCTCCCTTTTTCCCAGACGAAGGACTGGCAGATGGCAAATCGAGAGTCTTGGTGGACGGGGGGACCTGCCCAAGGTTTCCCGGTGCGGGAAGCCTGTTTCATGAGAGGACCTCAAGGAGGTCCTCACAGAGGAAGCAAGCACCCTTTGGATGGAGAGAGGAAGAACGTGGGACCTTCCAAACAAAGTGTTGGCTGGTGGAAGCGGGGCATTTCAGGCCCCAAGTACAAAGAAAGTGCTCAGAACAGTTGGAGAAAGGCGTTCACAGTGGCTAGAGGGTGCTGGGAAACAGAAAGCAGCCTGGGAGGGGGTAGAAGAGAAAGGATGGTACAAGATCATACATTTGGAAAACAGCAACCCAAAGAATGAGTCATCTAACAGCTTGCTAAGTGTCAGATGGTTCCTTAATATTTTAAGCACTGGGTTTCCAAAAACCATTTAATTCAGCAGCGGTTGATCATACACACCTTTATTTTAATTCACCGGGAAACATTCCAAAGAATTGAGAGACCTGAAGTGCTCAGCAACTATTAGTTCTTAGAACTGTGTCCACTCCGCTCTGTAAATCAGCCACGTTATTTAACTAGCTCCCCCCCACCACCACCACAGTACCGACTGCTAACAGCATTGCACTGCTGTGTCCAGGGAAGGTACACTACTCATTTCCTGGCAGTTTACAGTCTGTGTGAAAATACTAAGTGAAATAAGTGGTGGGGGGAAATCAAGCAGGATGATCTCAACGAGGTATAAGAAAAATGAGTCAACAAACCATAAACTTGCACTAGAATAGGAAATGTTAAAAAAATGCACCCATAGGCTAATAGTGGTAGTCTGATTAATGAAGAGTGATCTTTTCTCATTTGTTGACCTGTTTTGTCTTTCACAATTCTAAATGTTTAAGATTGTTTATAAAGAGAATTCCTATTATGAAAAATATTACCTAGAACATTGGAAGAAAAACGTCCTTCCGTTGGTCAATGTTGCCCCTACCAAAAATATCTCTTGCCCATTGCTTCTTACAATCTTCTGCTTATACAGACCCAACCCCACAGCAATTATATGTCTGTAGTTTGACAGCTCAGAGTCTTGATTCCTATTTTTAAATACAAGGCTATGAAATAGAAATTATTTGTGTAATTTTAACATATTCTTTGATCCAGCGAGCTAGTTTAATCAATGCAGAAAATGTTAATTAAAATGATTGTCCTAACTATCCTTCCCTGCATTATATTTGGGCTAATAGTCAACTCAAATAGATATATATGTTTTATGAAAACAAATGCATATCAACTGTTCTCTGTAGTTGAACAACTAATTCTCAGAATCAGAATGGTATAATTTTAGAGATAAAAAAGGTTAAGAGAAATCTAACAACACAATTCCACTAGCATCTTTTCATCCATCCTCTCCCTCTATTCCATCCACATCCTGATGTAATCAATCAAGAAAGTGAGTATCCATTGGGCCGGGGCGCTGGACTAAGAGCTTGTTGTGAAGCAGAGTGCATACTCTAGCCTGCACAGGATCTACGCTCCAGACGTGAAGAGAGACATGGAACAATTTCCCCAGGTAGAGTGCTTTAAAGGTGAGGTAGAGGAAGCTATATGGGGGAGGGGGAGGGGGAGGGCTGAGAAGCAGCAGCTAGGGAAGCTAGCAGGGGCAGGATGGATGCATGGAAATCCGAGAGCTGACGCCTACACCAGGCCTCGAAGGAAGGGTTACTGTGAACTGGCATCCTGGAGAATGAAGGGGTGTGGCGCTGAACCCTCTTTGCAGCTATAGAGCCTGCAGGGGAGGAAGGCACCACATGAATGAAGCTGGAGGCCCAGGCTGACTGTGCGGGGCCTTTTCAAGCCCTGGAAAGATTTTGAACTGTGTTCTGGAAGCCTCTGGAAGATTTTCACAGAGGAGTGCCAAGAGAAAGTACACCATTCTGGCTGTAGCATGGAGAATAAACAGGAGGGAGAGGATGTCAGAGGACAGTTATGACCAACATGAAGTAAAGAATTAGTCTTGAAAACAGTTATTTCCTAAAAATTTTCTTCCATTGGTCACTGTTTCAGCTACCCAAAAAATCTCTCGCCCATTGCTTCTTACAACCGCCTGCCTGAACTAAAAGAGAGGGGTGGACAGGCACCGAGGGAGGGAGCCAGCCAGAGAAAATCATGGTGAGATTGGGTTTAGGGGCCCAGGGTGCTTGCCTGATGCCTGGGGAGCCCTGGAACCTGTGAGAATCGTCCACACAAATAGGCAGGAAACTCTTAAAAGAAAGCCTGGCTCAGCATTTTCTATTAAATATATTTTTTCCCCATGAATATGATCATTTTAATATATAACCCAAATTCATAAATGAGATTTCCCAAAGAGTCCATTGTATTTTACCCAAAAAGCACTAAGAGCAAGCAGAGTGAAGTAAATGTAATGATCCCAGGCGCCTCCCGCGGCCAGCCCTCCCCC